TGGGATTTGGATGCCCTCTCTGGCTGGGAGGGGGACCAGGAGAGATGCTTTGATCAAAGCTGGCCTCTCCTTCAAAGCACAGAGGACATGGTCCCTCACTTTCCCACCAACAGAAAGCAGAGAGGAAGATTCCCAGGGCAACATCGGGAAGCAGCCACAGCCAAACCCTTTCAGAATCAATCAGGAGATTAAACACTTCAGGATGTTCCCAAGTTGCTGAAATTTGAGGGACTTAATCATGGAAGTAGAGCTCGAAATAGGAGAGAAAGTAAAGGAACATACCTGAGTGATGGGCTTATCTGGGAAGAAGGAGTAAGAGGTGGAAGAGCCAGTCAGGATATCCAGCACCAGCGGATTGTCAGGATCAGCCACCATCCTTGCAAAGAGAGGCCTGGTGAGCAGCACAAAGACCCCCAGGGCCCCACACACCCAGAGGAACCTGCGAACACCAACAAAACCCCACGGGCCCCCCTGCCCTTGGGACGTGGAGAGACAACCTGCACACACCAAGACACAGTCGAGCTTCACTCATTTCTCTTAGGAAACATTCCCAAGTCAACAACTAAGTGCCCTGGAGAGTTTCCTTCTCTTTTTTGTTTTAAATCAAGAGAGATCTCTGATGTTAGGAGTCCCAGCGGCTGAGCCTATGCTCACCTCACAGCAACACCACTGGTTTAATTCTGCTTCCCCAACATTACCCATCTCAGCCCCTCCAGGCTCACCCAACTCCTCGGAAAAGGATGGGGTTCAGTGCTGCCTTCCCCACGATGGTGGGAGCCTTCAGGAGATTCTCAGTGTCCGCAACAATGAGCGTGTGCTGGGAGAAATGAGATGTCAGTGTGAGGTGATGTTGGGGGGATGATAAGCAACTCTCAATTAAAAGTTAACTCTGTTTTAACAGACAATTAGAACTGTTGGATTAATGTTACAGTTCAATTAAAAAACAAATCCCAGCATTTTTGTTTAATTATGGTCAAATGAAATCAATGCTGATCCATAAGGAAATACAAAACACCTTTTGATAAAGACGTAAGTGTTTTACTTCCCAGTATTTAGCAACTTTCATCCTTCAACCAGGACAACATCCACGCCTTGTTTTAATGGTTTAATTGAAATAAAAATTAGCAGAATGTATTTATCTCAGATGTTAACACAGGGTTTGATTTAAAAGGACTGGATGACACTAAGGGGAAAGAATTGTGTTTCTACACTGATCTGAAAACTTATCTGAAAATCTCTCGATTGATCTGAAAATCTGGGACTGAAAAATCTTCCTTCCCACATGCAAAGTGTCGTGCTCTGTGTCTGACATGGTTCATCCACAGGTGAAATTCCCACACACACACACTTCAGAGGGGTCCATGACCAGCATTAATCACAGTGTCACTGCATGGGACACAGTGACAACCTGACACTACAATCTGAAGGATCCTGACAGCAGCAGAGCTGAATGTGGAAATGTGGATTACTTACCACTTTCCTGGGAGAGTGGGAGAGCAGAGAAGGGTGGAGGAAAAAAGGGAGAACGAGGACAGAGGATTTATCCCTAAAGCTTTACACCTCAGTGTTCTCGTTTGGGCTGGAGTTAACTTTCTTCCCAGTGCTAGTGTGAGGCTATGTTCAGGATTTGTGCAGGGCACAGGGTTGATAATACAGAGATGTTTCTGTTACTGCTGAAAAGTGCTTACACAGAGCCAAGGCCTTTGCCGCTTTCTGTACTGCCACGCTGGCAAGGAAGTTGGGGGTGCATGGGAGACTGGGAGGAGACACAGCTGGGACAGGTGACCCAAACTGACCAAAGGGATATTCCATACCCTAGGACATCATGCTCAGTATATAAAGTGAGAGCAAGATGGAGGAAGGGGGGGACATCTGGAGTGATGGTGTTTGTCTTCCCAAGGAACTGTTATGCATGACGGGCCCTGCTCTCCTGGAGATGCTGAACACTCCTGCCCAAGGGGAGCAGTGAATTAATTCCTTGTTTTGCTTTGCTTGTGTGTGGCTTTTGCTTTCTCTATTAAACTGTCTTTATCACAACCCATGAGTTTTTCTAGCTTTTACCCTTCCAATTCTCTCCCCAATCCTGCTGGTGTGAGCAGCTGCATAGTTCTTGGTTGCTGGCTGGGGTTAAACCACAACTCTCAGTTCTCACCAGAGCAGCCCAAAAGGGGCAGGCAAAGCCGCTCACCTGCCCGGGGTCAGATATGTCGTAGTTGTGGTGGTCAATGACTGCTGTCCTTTCCTCGTCGAACTCGATCCCACACTCACTGCCCAGCTCTCGCAGAGGGTCACCTGCATGGACATAATGGATTTGCTCTTACACTGTGTACAATCCAAAGGGAAAAGGAAATTCAGCTGAAGGTCGTATGTTCAACACTCTACGAGCCAAACTTCCAGAAGCAACACCACATTCCCAGCTAAATTCCCACTGACCATGTCAATAAAGTAATTTATCGCCCATTTCCTTCCAGAACAAACCTTGAGGCTCACAACAAGCAGTGAGAAACTGTTTTCTCACTATTTTGGTTGCAGGAACTCTGGCTGCAATGAACTAATTCACTCCAAGGAACACCTGCACTCACCGATGTCTGAGCTGGCGGCAACAAGGACACTGCCACCACCATCGATAAACGCAGTGATGGTCTCTACATTGATGTTTCCACCAAAATCTGAAAGCACACAGCAGAAATTCATGACTAGTGCTCAGAAATAACACCTTGGCAGAATTAAGCCACAGCAAATCACCAAATGATTCCTCCTGTGGCTGGAAGAACCACATTAGGCCTGGATGTAGCTGCAGTTTGCTACTGGCTAAGTCTGAAGTGTAAGATTTAATTTAAAGTCACAAAACACTTGGAAATCCCTTTCCAAAACTGCCGCTGAGCTCAGAGCACTCGAGCATTCCCCTCCTGCACTTACCTTCTATGGATGGGGAGAAGATGATGAGGTTGTCATACAGGAACTCCCCATATTTTATCAGGGACAGGCCAGCATCATCTGCTGTGCGGAAGGTGAGATCGAAGCCCCTGTCTGCAGCCACGAGACAAAAGTGACAACTTCTGCATGGCATGAAATGGGGACACAGAGCAGCAAAGCAGCAGCAGGGTCTGGAGGTTTATTTCCCCAATAATAAAACAGTGTTTTGGAAAAAAACTGGCTTAGGGGCTTTCTGGGAGCAGTGCCAGGAGATTCCCACATACATCCAAGGGAATCAATTCCCCAAAGCGCATGGACACCTCACTGACAGCCACCAGACAGAGACCTGAAACACAGGCACAGCTGGGGAAACAACCCAGACCTCCTCCCTCTGCCTGGCCAGGGGACCCCAAACACCACCCTCTTCACCAGGGGACCTCAACCTCCTCCCCTATTCTGACATGGGGACCCCAAATACCTCCCTGTTCACCAGGGGTCCCTAATCTCCTGTCAGCTTGGGGTGCCAATCCTCTCCTTCAGCCTGGCCAGGGGACTCCAACAACACTCCCCTCCCTCATCCTGACAAGGGGGCCCCAATCTTCTCCTTCCTTTGGGTCTTCTGGGGACCCCAAACACACCCTTCTCCCCCTAGGAACTCCAATCTCCTCCCTCAGCCTGACCAGGAGACCACAAGCTCCTCCCCCAGCCCAGGACGAGATCCCCATCCCCTCCCTCATACCCTGCAGTGTACCCCAAACACCCCCATCACCCCCAGGTAAACGCCAGCTCCTCCCTAGCCCCCGCACGAGCTCCCCATCGCCTCCCTCGCCCCGCGCTCCCC